TATCCTTCAGTGTTTGCAGTAAAAGTCTCCATTTTAATATAGCCTATCCTCAAGTAACCTCACGGAGACTGTGAAAGCCTTACAATCTTATAATATTTATTTATCTATCTTATATGTTTATATCAGTGTTTTAATAGATTTAATTTCACATACATTATAAATCCTGAGAGATGTTAAAATTATTATGGTAGATAGTCAATTATCCCATAAAGAAATTTAGATTAAAAAAAAAAAAAACTACTCTTAGTGTCCCCAGTTACATGTTAGGCTACTTAAGTTAAATTCCCAGCTCACTTAAGACCTTTTTCTTATGTTTCATTATGGATTTTATTTTGATTTATCTTCAAATTCACTTACATTTCCTTCTTTCATGCCTAATCGGCTGTTAATTCTGTCAAGAATTTTTTTCATTACAGACCTTTGAATTTTTACTTTTAGAAGTTTGATTCGGATGTTTTTGTATTTTCTCATCTCCACAAAACTTTGAACATTGGGCTACATTTCTATACTGTGTTTGCATCTTCTCCTGGCATTCGTCACTGCTGGCTTGTTCGATTTTCCTCCTCATTGGGATCATGTTTTCCTCCTTCTTTGCCTGCCTGGCTGTCCTCTTTGATGAGATGCCCAATATTGTGCATTTTACATTTCTGAGTGCTGGCTACCTTAGTGTTCTTGCTAATATTCTTAGCTTTGTCCTGGGATGCATTTAAGTCCATTAAAATCAAAAAGCCCAATCTTCCTGACAGGCATCTGTTTTTCCTGAAGACTTTGGCAATAGGATCCTAAAACAAGCAAGAAAAACAAAAAGAAACAACAGGGTCGAGTTTAAGGAATTAGATACAAGATGCCACGAACTGTCATAAACCAGTATATGAGACAGTGTGTTGATAGAACAAGAAGTGACAAAAAGACCAGTTGAACAGAGCAAAGACCCTGAAAACAGACCCACACATACACAATGAAAGGCTTATGATGAACGTGGTACAGTGGAGTATTCCACCCATTCTAATCTGCTTCTGCTGGGGTGTAAATTTCTAAAAATTACTATGGAAACCTCAAAGAATCCTGATTGGTAGATTTAAATATGTTAGGGTTTTGATCACTTCCCTTTAACACCTTCTCAAGTGAGGTTGTATTGTTTGCAATCAAGCTAACAGTGAGTTTCTAAAAGGATTAGACTGGAGAAGAAGAAAATTAAACTCTCAATGACTGCAGGATTGTCAAAAGAAATTACAAAGCAGCATGAGGACATGGGTTAATGTGCATGACTATGGGGGCAGAGGCTTCTGGATAATTGATGATGGCACTTCTTTCTGAGGATTCCAGTTTGTTTTTTAAGGCTGGTTCTGCCAGTGCCTTACCATGGCTTTGTTCTGCTGGTTCCCTCCTTGGTATAGCAAGGTCTGAGTTAGACATTCAGCATAAGAGTTTATTATAAATGTACTAAAAATTTGTGGTTGTCACTATCCCTGAAACCAAGCTCCAGTATTCAAAGCCAATCGTTGAATCTTGACTAAAGCTGAACAACACCAGAAAGCTATTCACCAGAATTTTCTCTATCCAGCACTATCTGTCCTAGTAATTCAGGGTCACTTCCTGACCTCCTCCTGTTGGAAGAACCCCTGAAAATCCAAATGCTTCTTTCCCTTCCATGAGGGAAGAGACACTCCCTCCTGCAGAACTTCTGAGAACTTGAGGAGGCTGAGCACAGAGGGTTTGTGGGCAGGAAGGAGAAGCCTGTGCCACACTGTGTCTAAGCTGCTGGCACAGAGGTACACAGCTGAGTCCCCCTGCACTGTGAGCTGGATTTCCAGAGTGGAGAAGGATCCCTGTGGCCTCTCAGCAGAGAACCGCTCATTGGGCATCCCTGACTTGTCTGTTGCAATCTTATTCTGGAAATACACGAGAAACTCCGGGCCTTGCCCTAGGGTCTGCCGGTACCAGTAAAGGACATTGTGTTCAGGAATTGGATCGCATCTGAAAGTTACATTCTGCCCTGTCTTTGTGACCCTGTGCGTGGGGGACTGGGAGACTCCAGCATGGGTGTGATCTGTGGAGACAGAAATGGAGAGTAGAATAGAAAAAATAAAGTTAGTCACCACACACACACACACACACACACACACACACACACACATGCCACAATGAAACCGCTTGATGTTCTGAGGACTCACCTGCTCCCAGGAGACAGACGGCCACCCAGCAGAGGAGCCTGGTGCCCATGGCAGGTCAGGAAGTGGGGAATTTCACCAGGGCAGGGTCCTTGTGAGCAGGAGCAGAGGAGGAGGGGCATCCTTTTTCTTCACACAGTAGCCATCACATGACATCACGGAGCCTCAGGAGTACCTGATATTACCCTAAATGCATGAGATGCCAGCATCTCTGGGATGTACCATTCCATTATATAACAGTAAGAAAGCACAAGATTTCTGTAGCTCATCATCAGAAATCTTAAAGGGTCAAAGTGCTGAGGCACAGAACTCAGGAAGGAAGTTACCTCAAAGGCAGATTTCAATACAGTCAGATTCTGTGAGATCCATTTGGCTTTCCCCTGCTCAGTGCTCTGGGGTGCTGCTGCCTGGGTTCCGCACTGCATCTCTAAGCAGTATGTCCATTGCTCTTGGGTTGTTTTGGTGTGTATGTGCGTGTGCGTGTGTGTGTGTGCGCGCACACAAAGGATTGAACCCAGGAGTCCTTAAACACATTTTCAGCCATTTTTATATTTTATTTAGATATAAGTTCTCACTAAGTTGCTTAGAGCCTCACTAAGTTGCTGAGCCTGTCTTTGAACTTGCGATCTTCCTGCCTCAGTCTCCGGAGCCACTGGGATTATAGTCCTGTGCCACTGTCCAGCACTCTTATCACTTTCTTGACTTGACACACCCACCTGGATGTTCCAAGTGGAGTTCACTTTGGAAATCTCAGTGCTGACTTACATCTTCCATTCCCAACCCAAGGGCTGCCTTCCCTGGCCCTGAGCATGGTTTGGGAAGGATGGGAGCTGACTGGGTGGTGGATGGAGAATGTCCAAATCTCTGTCCTGAAAGTAGTTTCGATTCATAATTCAGAGTGACAGGGGAAGAAATGTTGCCTCTGCCAGGCACCAATCCAAGTTGGCATTGTCAATTCTTTCTAGAGCATTTAAAAAAAATTCCCCCATTATTTCATTAGTCTCCACACTGCTTTTGGTCCTCAGTTCCTTATCAGGCTTCCTCCTGCATTTCACACTCACTTCTAAAACATTTTGATGTCCCCACACCTTGCCTTCAGTGGAGTCAGGGCAATTTTACCCTTAACATTCTGGTAAGAGTTTTAGTGTAAAAAGTGAAGAATTGAATTAATCCTTGTAGCTCCTGAAAGTCTGCATTACAAGTAATTAATAGCTGGTTTAACTCACGAAACTTCATTGGCAGCTCCTTTTATGTGAGGAACAGTCACCACAATCCCTTTCATTGTGGGGAAGTTTGGGTTAGATTTAGGAAGACACTGAAAGTTGGAGAAAATAGGTGCAAAAGAGCAGGGTGCTTAGCAAGGTCCTTGCTGTTGGTCCAAGTTGAGCCTGCTGTGTCCCCCACATCAAGGGAATGCAGGTGCTGTCTGTAGTGAGGGGTCAGGCTGACCAGCGTGGAAGATACCAGCATCTTCCCTATTACAGTTCTGTGCAATTGGGGCTGCTGAATTTCAAGTTGATGTTGAATTCAGTAAGAGATGCCACAGAGCAAAGCTTATCCCATTGGTCATTGTCATCCCTGTCACATGCTTTTAAGAGGCTTTGTGAACCCAGTGACTAGGGGACCCTCATGTGGAGACTTGTGTGAGTTCAGTGACAAGCAGACACAGGGGTGGAGATAGAAAGCTACATGGCAACTGTGCAGATATTGAGGACTAACAGTTGCAGGGATGGAGATTCCCCCAAGGGTACCCTCTACCTTCTGGGTCCAAAAGACAAAGGAAAATTGAGCAGAGGAATGTGAAATCTCTTAAATTTTCTGAGAATGAAATTTTCATTTTCACCCCAAACCTGATAGGTTTGCAGTACATATACTTTCTTTGTCAAAGTTTGGTAAGTTCAACACAGAGTATACCAGGCTGCACCTGATTTTGAGAGGCAAAGATAGCCCAGGAGAAGAACCTGAATTACATGGGGGTATGGGGTAGGTAGAGGGCATCTCAGATCTCCAGTGTGTCAAGGATAGAGGCTGGGAGCTCTCCTTTCCCTGTGCCTGGTGAGCACGTGGGTGTGAGTGATCCTGATGTCCTTGCTTTTTCCCCATCCAAGATCTTTCTGCGATGGCCCAGGCTCCAGTCTCCTCCCACCAACTCAGCTGTTCATGGACTTCCTCCCACAAAGCAAGGGGTTCAGAGATGGATGAGACAAGCTGACTGCAAAGACTCCTATTGCTACAAATTTTCTGGTGTTTCTTTTAATTGTGATGCGTGTATTTGCCTGAGGCCATAGGTATGGGAATGAGGATGAGAGTGGGGATAGGGATTTAGAGAGAATGGAAAGATCCCCTCCCCATCCCAGGTAGCCACAGGTCCAAAAACACCTGGGCCCCATTTAATGGTAAGAGTTTTAGGTTTAACACTTAACATTCAGCACAGATTCTTCTTGATTCAGGAATCGAGCAGACTTTTGTTAACTGTGGTGTCCCTGGGAAGTGCTCAGTCCCTGATCAAGCTGCTTGGTGCAATCAATCATGCATTCTCCAGGTTTTGAAGCCAGCCCTTCTTCTACAGAGACTGAGGGAATCCTGGGGTATCATCCTTCTACACCCTGACAATAAAAGCAATCTGAGAGAGTCTTCAAAGAATAGCTATGGGGGACTGACAGAGCACTGAAAGTGTGTCACGGAAAACTCTAGGTGGAGGCAAGGAGGTCCAGGCAAGGGGGGATTTTTACAGTTCTCCTACCTGCACTCATTTCGCTCCTTATACTCCTGCACTTTCTACACCCAGGAACACTTCACAAGTGCTCATGGTGCAAGGAAACACCGATGCTCACCTCCATAAGGAAGGATCCACACGTCAGGCAGATGATGGTTACAATCCACTCCCTAGCACCGGTCACTCACAAGGACGACTAATGGCCTGCATCCTGAAAACTGCCAACCAATCCAGTTGCGTCCATTTGACCTCTGGAGCGTCAATCAGCTCAGCACCACTAAAGATGAGTCATTCCCACTGACTTCTGGGAAAATTCCGACTCCCACCTCCTCTGGTGCTCTGAAGCTCTCCCCTGGTTTTCCTCCTTGTTTATTTTTGGAGCTCATCATTACTCCTCAGGCCAGTTCAAGGTCTTTCTTCAGCTTTCTCTGCCTCCTTAGCCAAGAAGGAGGACTTGGCCCGTCCAGGCTGCCTCATCTCCATGGCTCCATGAAGGTGGGGTTTGGGGATGACAGAGAACAGGAAGGTAGAAACCACTCCTCTTAGTACTCTGATCATGCCTGCGGCCATATGCTTCTTGGTGGAGCCCGGAGTTCTCATTACTTTGAGTTCAACACCTCCCCACTGCCACTGCCATTGCTTCTATCCTCGACCTCAGGGTGACAAGTTAGTGAATATCAGAACTGACAAGGTCATAGAAATAATCTCCTTTCCATTTCCAGGTGCAAGAGGGACTTCTTACTACACTGAGTCCAGCTGCATGTCTGGATTTCCACTAAAACCACTTGTTCACGGGCAACTGTACTCGAGAGAGGAAACACACAGAAGCTGTTGAGAGGAGAAGGGCCATATCACAGCCTCACAAATGCTTGGTATTAGATATCCTTGGTCTTCAAAGTCCTGTGGCCCCGTGCTGTGTTCCTTGCTTACCTCTCTTCCTCCCCAAGGCCTGTGCCTCCTTCCCTGTGAATCCAAGGAAGATGCTTCACATAGATAAGCCACCATGATGCTTCCTCCCCTTCCTCCCTTGTTTTAACAAGAGCTCCCTTTCCTAGTTTGTCCACATCTGTGTCTCTGCTGCATCTTTTAACAGAAATAGTTTTCCCAAAGTTCAGCTCTTCTGGTACTAGTACCCTGATCAGCCACCTCTAGACCCTGCCCACTGCCAATATCATGATGCTCTTGTCCTCTGTGCAGTAGATGCAGAGACCCTTCTATTTCTGGTGCCCGATGAAGACCAACAACCCCAAATAGTCTGAGGACTCCCCTTTTCAGCTCCAGTGTCCCATGGCTCCTATGACACTCTACACAGAAACAAAGAGATTGCCCTTGGTCATCTGGATGTATTATTTTTTAGTCCTGAGTCCATGAAAACAACTATTAACCTTTCTGACCTGAATCTCCCCATCTGTAAGACATGGGCAGCTCTTTCACAGTGTTCTATGAGGGCTAGATGATATGGTGCAGTGTCTGGGGGACTGAGGTCTATCCTGTCTCCCTCCCTGTCACATCATGAAAAGGGGGTGGTTGGGCCCTCAAATCTGCTAGTTCCATCAGGGATAGAAGAGCTGAATTTATCACATGGGTGCTGAAGTAGGGAGAAATCAGGTGTACAAAGAGGTCATTCAGTCACTTTGGAAAGACCTGGCAGAAATCAGGATTAGTCAGGAGAGAGATAAGAGGTAATGATGGAGCAGGAATGTCCCTGTGGACCCTCTTTAGGTACCATGAAGCAGCTAAGAGGAGCAAGACCACATGTCCATCTAAAAAGATGAAGACCTAAGTAGATTCAGAGAAAAGTTTTGCATGTGGCAGTTATTGTGAAGGTTTATTTGGGTAGAAACGCTTCCATGAACCCACAGAAGAGGGGTGTTAAACACACTGGAGTGTCAAAATGGGTCTCCTACAGAAGGCGGGACTGGATTGGGAGGCTGTGGGGATCATTAGCATTTTTTATATATCATTGAGTTTTCTAATTAGAAACATGATCACAGGAAAACTTGAAATTCAGATCTTTGATCAGGTAGTAGAATTTGTAATGTGTAAATGAGTCAAGTATGAAAAGGCTATAATCATAGCTGTAGAAAGGCGCATTTTCTTGAATAAACTGAGATTAAACTGTGCCACATAAAATAGCTAAGACTTTTGGTGCCCATAGCTGGTTTGTCACTGGGGAGGTGAGTGAAACAGGAATTTTGGTGCCCATGGGTGGTCTGTCTCTGGGGAGGTGGGTGAACAGGGAGGCAGATGCATTTGATGTTGATGTCAGTTCACGCTGATTAGGAGCTAATATGGCTTCTACCTTTGAAAGCCTGATCTCATGAGGAAATTGAGGGACTGACTCCTCACTCTTGAGCAGGCTTTGAACAAAACCCTTATTTGAAGAGGAAGGTAAGTGAGCAACTTCACTGCCTACATTTCCAAACTCAATAAGAGTTAACTTCCAATTTTACATTTTCCAGGCTCTGGAAAGGCTCACTTTGATTCTAATTCAAGGAGCAGTATCACATCAATCTCAATGTCATCCCAGGGTTTATCCATAGGCCACAGCTTTCTCGAGTATGGCTTTAGCACATGGAACAGAAGAGATGCTGTCCTCAGGGAAGATGTCCTAACTTCAGCTTTTTAATGTCCCACTCTTTGAAATAGGGGTTTATTTTTGGTCCTCGCTGCCTAAGGGGATAAAGCCACATTAGACTTTAAAGCAAGTATGGGACTCATTCAGGCAGAACTAAGGTTTCGATTCACCCTTGGTCCCTCCTAGGTGACCACAGATGTGATTACTTCCACCCAAAATGACTCTCACAAGTCTTCAAGGACTAATACAGAGAGAGCCTTGCTCTATAAATGGAACCTCTGTGTCCCAACCAGCCTTTCCCACCTAGTGAAAGAGAAGAATCATGCAGAGGACTCTGCTCCACACCCTGCCCCGTGGTCAGTGTGGACTAGAGGAGGCTGGTGAGCACAGCTGTGGGTCCTTGGCATTGCTCGTCAATACCGGGAAGTGGCCATCCGGGATTTGGTTTACAGTGTCGGGCCTCGTGACCTCAAAGCCACCCAAGAAGTATTTGTGCCTGGGGGAAATCTCCCTAGCCTCTTAGGGAGGTCATCCACTTTCTGTTCTCTCACTTTTTAACTCTAATGTGTTTGATCCTTCTGCCAGTGATTAGCTTCTCTGTGTCTGGGAAATTCTAAAATCCAAGAGACCTATGAGGAAAGAAGATCAAGAAGGTGACAAGCCTAAGAAGGTGAAGGGAAGATATGAAGCTCAGTACTGCAGAAAGTCTTAGGATCCAGGTACATGCCCCCCACAGAGCTTTCTAACTCTCTCCAGGATTTCCCTGATCCCAGAAGACAAAGGGGTATAAGTTCCCAAATGATAAATTCAGACCTCTGAAAAGGCCTGAGTTGGAACCTTGGGGTCTGTCTTGATTCACACATTCTCTAACGATTGGCCACTAGTAGTAGAACTGCTCCTGTACTGGCAATAAAAATGGGGGTCAAATACAGCCATAGTCCCTACAATAATGAGATGTCCAGTGTAGAGCTCAAGAGAAGTTAAATGGACACGCAAATTCTTGTAAAATTCATGTAAAACAACCACCGTGCTAAATGCTATGAATATTATAAGGTGTGAATGTCTGTCATAAAGGAGTGGCCTAGGGAAATGATTGAAGAAATACTTCCCTAAGGAGGTGGTAGTAAGGAGCTGGGAGAACAGCAAAGGAGGGAGGAGTTGACCTAGAGAATCCAGCCTGGAAGAGGAAGAGCTTTGCAGTGGGAGGAAAGAGCAGACCCAGGGACTTTCAGGAATGAAGCAAGCTGGGGGTGAAGGGTCAGGAAGGAACAGTGAGGGACAGACACAGTCTGGGAAGCTTGAAACTGAGATGGTCATGCGGTGGAGAAGATGGAATCAGCAACAGCCATTGGAGAAAGGTGACAGCTCTGCAGTCTCCATGGTGTGTGTATTTGTTTATTTTCAACTAAACATTCCGTTCTGTGGGCAGTGACTTAGAGGACATTCTGCTGAGGCCAGAGTTGATGCACTTCTACTGAGAGAGCAGGGCCCCTCCTGCTGCAGGAGGGACGTGGAAGGGAAGACTGCATCCACTGATCACAGTGCCAGTGTGTCCCCTTGTTCCACTGAAACTGGCCTGGGGAAAAGTGTCACCTGCAGGACTAGCAGAGTGCCATCTGCAGGATGCTTAGAGCTCAGGGGGCCACAGCCTGGGCAGTCTAGCAGAGGATCCTAGGACACCGTGTTCCCTTGGCTGCTTAGTGGCCTCATGAAGATGAGGCCACTCGTACCTCCTGCAGTGTTTTGTGCAGAGAGAGGGGGCTGAGGGGTGACTGCTGGAAGATATGGCACAGAGATCTGGGAGGGTCTGCCACACACTAGGGCAACAGTGTCTGGGGGACTGAGGTCTATCCTGTCTCCCTCCCTGTCACATCATGAAAAGGGGGTGGTTGGGCCCTCAAATCTGCTAGTTCCATCAGGGATAGAAGAGCTGAATTCATCACATGGGTGCTGAAGTAGGGAGAAATCAGGTGTACAAAGAGGTCATTCAGTCACTTTGGAAAGACCTGGCAGAAATCAGGATTAGTCAGGAGAGAGATAAGAGGTAATGATGGAGCAGCTGAGCATGTAGAAGATACAGAATTTGTACACATAGACAAGTCTGTCCCCAAGTTCTGCTTCTGAAAACTCATGAGGCATTGGGGGAAATGGCTTATGGTCCCTGAGCTTCTCACCTATAAGAAGGAAATAAGAATATTTATTTGCATGATTGTTGTAAAACTTTAAAAACATTTTTGAGTTTAAAGAGAATCTAGCACACCTTAAGGGCTTGCTCTCCTAATGAACACCAGGACTGGACAAGCTATAGAAGGTGCTAGTGAAGAGGAGGAAAGTTTTGGTGCACACAGGCAAGCTTGGCTTCTTCAGGTTGGGTGTGTGCTGAGCTCAGCAGGACACCAAAATGCCTTTGACCCAGTTGAAGGAGCAAAACCTTGAAGAAGAAAGGCCTGAGTAGAAGGCCCTGCATTGCCTGCCAGTGCCAAGCCTAGGACTCTGCACAGAACATCAGTGACTCTGGGGGCTGTGCAAGATGCAGGAACAGAGGGATGCCTGGCTGCCTTCCCCAGCTCCATGGTGCTCACGCTCTGCTCACTGCTGAGCTGAAAATCTGACAGGGGCATTTCCTTTTGCTTTCTGCACATTTTGACAAAACTAAGAGGAACTGTGGGTCCTGATTCAGGGCCTGTTGGCACCAGGACACACAGAGGTGCCCAGGTATAGGAAAACATCTGTGTTACTTGCTGTTGTCTTGTATTGATCAAATGCTTTGGAATTTGGCTGAATCCAGCCTCCACTCGGCCTGTGAAGAAGGCTGACAGAGAAAGAGCAGAATGAGAGAGTCTGGGGTGCCTTCCT